GCAGGTGGTGGAGGAGAAGTAAGTGAGACCTGCACCGGGTATCGAGATGTGGGGGTGCCCCCTTTGCAGCCCCATGCGTGGCAGGCTGGGGGGAGACAGCGCTGGGGACAGCAGGGCTATGAGGGAGTTTAATGAACCCCCTAATCCCTTAATCCGCTTCCTCGCCCGGGAGATGGGATTGTTTTCTCCTTTCGCGATGCACTTGGAGGGGAGGAAATGGTGGGGAAATGGGGCTTTGCAGAGGAGATGGGGGGTACCCGGGTCGGGGGGATGTTCAGACCCCGGTAACTGCCCCGTGTGGTTCACAGGATGGAGAGAGATGCCCAGTTCGCCCAGCGCAAGGCGGAGAGAGCCACGGTCAGGTCCCACTTCCGAGACAAGTACAGGCTCCCCAAGGTATGGCCGTGCTGGGCATGGGGCATACCCCATAGCGGCCGCTGGGCGGGCTCGGTTCCAGGGGAAGAGGCACCACAGCCCTTGGACGGGCGGGCTTCGAACTACAAAGCTCAAATGCAAACCAGTTCCCTTCAAAAACATCCTTCCGTGCGGATCCTGGCCCCTTCCAGTCACCCCTGAGCACCACAACCCAAACAGTGGGACTCACAGCACCCCCTGAGCCGTGCTTCATCCCCCTCTTCCTCTCTTTTGCTCCCTAAATCCAGCAGGATGAGGGGAAGCTGCCTTTACCCTGGACTCTCAGCACTGTAGCTGGGAGCAGAGCTGGAATTACACCTTCCCAGCTGGATTAGCCTGCTCCTCTCTCCGGATTATTTGGCAAGCACATCCTACCTAAAGTCCTATTTTGGAATTTCCATTCCGGTGATGAATGATTCACCAGAAACAATCTAATCAAGGGATAATTCAGCCATTCTTGGACTTGCTACAAGCTCTTCTCCCCCTAAACCCACCCTTCATTCAGCAGGAAAAAATCAGTGGTGAATACTCTAAATTGGAGCTGGGCTAATATTAGTTGGGAAAGGTCAGCTCAGCCAAGTGATATTGTTCAGATTGTTTGTTAGTGCTCAGCACCCCCCCGCTCCGAACACCCCTTTTATTGCCAGGAAATAAACAGCTGGAAAAGGAATGTTTCCCCCGCCAAAAGTGAGAAAAGGCAGAAAGAGACGGAGATTTCTTTTTATCTCCAGGGGAAACGGGGATTAGTTCAGCTCTGGCCCCCAATTCTTATTCTTTCACATGCTTGAGATGTCCCTTCTCATCTTCTGACAAGTTTCTTCTGCTCATCACTGATCCCGCTTGGCAGCCCAGCTGCCTCTTGCCGTGTCTCCCTGTGGCTCTGCAAGCCCTCATCTCCAGTGGGCACAGCCATTGAGCGTACGTGGCGCTTAACTGGCTGCTAAACCTCCCCAGCACCCGTTTACACCGATGCTGCCACTCTGAGGTCCCTTGCTGTGCACCCAGGCTCTGCTCACCCACATCCCCTCTGGGTCAGCATCCTACCCACAGCATGAGCATGACTCGAACCCCCCTCAGGGACCATCCCGCATGTACCTTAAACCAGGGAGACAGCTCAAACCCCACACTCTGGAGCGGCGTGAGCCCTTCACGTGCCCTCAGCGCCTGCAGAACCCCCTGTGGCACTCCCTGCCTGACTTTGCCCCTGCCCATTGCAG